CCTCAGGTGTAGTCCCCATAGAGTTTCCTTCACCAATGCACCCGTGCACCCGTGCACCACAGTCCACTGTGCTCCTCCCTTCCTCCCTCTCATCCCTCTACCTTCTCCTCCCCTGCAGCATGTCTCTGATTTATAATTGTCTGTTTTGTTGTGTTTTGTACTGTTATAATTTTTTTACACTGATGTCTAAAAGGGCAAGCCTCCTACCCTCCCTCTCCCAAAAAAAAAAAAAAAGTAGGGGAGGGATAACTCTTATAGATTGAGAGACTTAAAAACAATGTCAACCAAAAGCAAGGCACCTGCCATGTATATGAATCCTGATTTGAATAAGCCAAATGTAAAGTATTATCTTTGAGGCAAGGAGATAAATTAAATACTAGCTAGATACTAGTGGTACTGGGTATTTAATACTATTGTTTTATGTTTTTTTTTTTTAAAAAAGCAGTGTATGTTATGAACTTTAGTTATAAGTTATGAACTTTAGTTATAAGTTATGAACTTTAGTTAATAATAATATAGCAATATTGTTTCATCTATTTTAACAAATTTATCATACTAATGCAAGATATTAATAGAACAGTAGGTGGGGTATATGCTCAACTTTTTTGTAAACTTAAAATGGTTCTGAAAAATCGAATAATTAAAAAGAAAACCTGAAACAGAAACATGGGTTTCCTCTCTAATCCATTCTTAAAACTGGTCACCAGATGTGTCCATGGCCTTACTATTTCACTTTCTCAGTAATACAAATCCCCCACATTTTCCTAATGTTTATCATAAACTACCTCTAATATGTTCTCATATCACCATTCTATGGGGGGAAGGTGGTTGTTTTGTTTTCGGGTTTTTGTGTGTGTGTGTGTGAGGGGTAACTGATTCAGCCTTTCTATGGCTTAAAAGATACATTTCAGTGGATTCACAAAAATCATCAATAATCAACCAAGCTCTTATAGGCAAGTTAATGTCGTCAAATTTTGACACATTCCCAAACAACCCCCACTTCAATTCCACAGATTCTTAACTGACTGGTAATTCACCAATTAGTGAAATAAAGAATATTTTCATTAAAAAAGAAATTCTTATCTGATAGAGATATATACAGAAGTACATATACAGATATATACAGAAGTTATAGATGATATGATGTCTAAGACTTATTTTCAAATACTCTAGGCAAAGTAGAAAAAAACGCTGAAGGAGTAGGACAGTAATGTAACAAGACTGGCTAACTTCAGATATTTACTGAATGTATTGGACACATGAATGTTCATTATACAGCTCTGTTTTTTCATATTCTTGAAAGCTTTCATAATAAAAATTTAGATAAAGAAAACTTAAGATTCGCCTATTTCACTACAGGAAATATGGAGATGTGTCAAACTTTGTTAACAATGGAATGGAAACTTAACTTTTTGCAAATTACTGATGGTAGTAGGTTCCTGAATTACTGAAGAATTACTAGTGATCATAATTGAAATCATGGAACAAAAGGTTTTTTTTCCTCTTAAACCATTGCTGCAAATGAATTATATTTCTTAAAAAAAGAATTTTTAAAAAGTGTGGTAAGCTGAGATATAGCTCAAGAGATCAGGAAAATAAAGAAGTGAAGATAGGCAGAATGACACTAGAAAACATTTACTAAAAATGAGAGCGAGAGAAAAAAATGTAAAAGATAAGGAGACAATTATCTCCTTTGTAAAGAGTTTAAAGCAAATAAATTGAAAATCAAGGGTTTGAAGACAGTTTAGTCACAAATGGAGAAAAGGAAGAAAGACAAATGGTTATTTAAATGTATCTCTGGGGCCTCCCAGGGTGGCGCAGCAGTTGAGTGCTGGGTTGCGAGGCAGCCCACAGCCTCTGCAGCACCAATTTGATCCCGGGCCACCAGCGAGGGTCCCCCCCAACACACACAAAAATAAATATATAAATAAAAAGTGAAAAACATGGTTAGTTTTTAAAAATAAAAAATAAAAAAATAAATGTATCTCTGAAAAGTGATATTAATAAAAGAAAAATCTTAGAATAGTAAGTTTTATGATTCTATTTTCTGTGGACACTTCAGGTATAATAGCTGAATATAGGAGAATGCTACCTAAACAAGCTTATAGATGATGGTTTACTTTAGAAGTGACTAAAACTTTCAAGCACATTTGTACAAATCAAATACAATTCAAGAGAGAATTGCAATACATCTGCACTAGTTCAAAGAAATGTGAAAAGAGAACATAGAGAGGGTCGGAAGGAAAGATGGGCTAAAATGATAAAGCATTCACACTTTAGACCTATAACAAAGGAACATTAACAATGAGAGTTATACATGAACTGAGGAAATCTAGGGTTGTTAAATACAGGAAAGAGAGAAAATTAAGAACTAATGTAAACGACATAAAAATTTTGAAAAGGTGGGTTACTTTTCTTCCAGGAACAACCCTTAGGGTTCAGGCAAAATTCATCAAAAAATATCTTTTCCTTCTACCAGCTATCAATTTAAAACCAGCCAATCCTATGAAAAAGTTTTTAGCCTCTGGTTATATACCTTTTCCACACAAATTTAGCCTTTTGGGGATATTGTTATAGGACAGGGAGAGGGGCAGCCCAAACCCCGCAAACCTGCCTATCCTAAATGGGTTCTGCCATCCGCCACATCAACACAAAACATCTGAGACTTTAATGGGAAGGAACTTTAATAAAACTAGGAAACAATACAGGTAAGGCAAAGAGTCTAGTTTTTAAATGAAGCACCCAAAGTTACCCGTCCCCTCGTGGGTAAAAGTCCATCCATATGGGAATGGCCCAGAGCAAGGCCCCAAAGCCTGCCACAAGTCTAAAGCATCTTCCAGTGGGGACCCACAGAAAAGGGTCACAAACAACCAGACAAGCCCGGAAGGAAAAGAGCAAAATCAACATCAAGATAAAAGCTGCCATGGTCACCTCCCCATGGGTCTCACCCACATCTGTGTCACCCAGTCCACGACCAAAAGACAAGCGCAGTTTCTTCACATGTCTCTAGGATCCATGTGCCTCCTCCAGGTCTCCTTCTAACTCCATCCTGCTTCCTTCCTTCCTCAGTCTCCTCTGCAGCTTCTCCTCTCCCTGCTCAGCTCCACCCTCCCTTGGGTGGGGTAGGGAACCTCCCCGTTTCCTGGGGACCACCCTGTTACAATATCACTGAATGAAAAGTCACTATGCCAGGAGGAAGGCGAGAGCAGTTCAGTCCCATAAGTTACACTATCAGATGTAAGTATATAGAAGGCATAAATTAGGAGCCAAGAAAAGATTGTCAAGGACTGCCTCACTGAAATATAGACCAGAACATAGAAACCTATTTATTTTTGAAAAGTAAAAGGTTCTGAGAAATAGGATGTCATGTGGTTTAAAAGTTGGTAGAAAAAAATGTTTTAGGTGAGAGTAAGATAAAACAGAAAGGAGAGTTAGCATACAAGGGTCTTGGATTCAACCATTAAAAGGTACTACAGCAATCTTCAAGTTTCATTATGTAGAATCCTGGTTAAGTCATGGCTAAAACAGGCAGGAAAACCTAATTAAAGGACCACAGAGATGTATCCTGCCTCACCTGAAAGCATATCTTCAGGGCCAAATTGAAGACAAATAGGTGAAACAATACTTTCTAGGTCAAGTTGATACTGATCCTTTAAAACAGACCTCCTAAGATCTGTGCAACCCAAGAAGAAGTAGGTCTGGCTACATCTGCTTGTAGCCTCTATGCTACTGTGCAAAGGAACAGTACAAAACAAATAAGAGAAAAGAGCATATCACATTTACTTTCATTTTTTCTTCTCCAATTAGTTCATTCTTTCTTCTCTAACTATTCACGTTTTCTAGTAGTGACAAGATGCATGATCTATTAATTGTCTTTCTCATTTCCTATGTTTCAGGAAAGCTAGATTTGGGCTAAAAATAACTACTAAATGGAGCTACAATTTTGTTAACAGCGTGCTGTAATCAAATGAGCCAAATGGTAGAGAACTTGGATAATCAGAAAGTTTAAGGGCAAAGGACAATTAAAATAATAGACTTTGCAGGAACATATAATAAACATTTCATTTACGTAATAGGAATCAATGTACTAGAATTCTAAACACATCAGGGACTCACAAAGTACATTCACACTAGAGACTATATAGCCATAAATTTGAGGGTCCTACGCTACAAAGCATTTTTCTCTTTATCTGTCCATCAACTATAGTTATTTCCACTAATGACAGCAATTTCTTTTGCTCTAAATGTTACTACTAAATTCCTTCAGATATTAATGAATGTCCCATAACAAAACAACCTCCTAGAAATTAACAAGATCATTTAATGTGTTAATCATCCCTTTTTAATTGATTCAGATCAAATATTAAATATCAGCAATATCAAATTATATCATTAAACTAAAAATATAAAGATGAATACAAATTAGCAATGGATTCAGAGTTTTACATCACTGGATTGATGTCAGAGGAAAAAAGGTATCCCTTTAGTAAAAAAACAAGAATCTAAGTAGTAAAATGAATTTCAACTATGACGAGAGCCAGAAAGAGTTCTTCTATGAAATTGAAATTAATGAACTCAACATATATCAAACAGTATTATTTTTAATTCAAACAGTATTATTTTTAATTCATTCTGCAGTGTGATTTGAAGACATCTCTTCCTTAATGTGATTAAAGCATGTTAAATATCCAAAGAGATAAGTAGAAAGAACTCAAAGGTATTTATGTCAATTAAAAAAAAAACGCTTTCTAAAGCAGACTTTCAATTAATTCACTCTCTCTCATTCCTACTCACCATGAAAAGGAATACCCAAAGTCTAATTATTCTAAGCAATAAACATTTCTACTTCTACTAGCTAGTAATAACATTTCCAAGAGAAAATGCTCAGTGTGTTTATACTAAGCTAATACCAAGTATTCAATTAATAGAGAATACAATTGAGTTTCAGAAAGATAACAATAAATAATAAACCATTTGTTGTATCATACAAAACAGCTTACCTTGTAGTTTTTTCAATACAGCAACCTCCATTTTCAGAACTTGCTTCGGTTGTTGAGCTGATTCCACCTTCAGTGCAACATTTTCCCTGGTAAGCATGTCCAAGGCATCGTAAATTTCTCCAAAGCCCCCACCCCCAATCTTCCTCAACTGCACAAGAAATAAAATAAGAATATACACAAAAAAATTACTAGAAGATTCTAACTGGAAACCATTCATCTCATATATAATTTTACTATCCCTATTTTATGATAAAATATCTCACTATTGATAAATATACACATGCCAAGAAGAAATCAAAGTCCTAGAAATAACATCATTTGCCCACAAAAAGTGATGGAATTATTTCATCCACAAACAATTTGGTCTACATACAACATCAGAGACGTAACAAAAAATACAGTATTTGAAATCTTCACTCCTCACAAATATCCCTCAACAATCAGATTTATTATTTTAATTCTAAGGGAATCATTTGCAGATTTCCCAAACAATGAAATCTTTTTGCCAGTTGAAATCTTATCTGGAACTAATATAATTGAAATGTGTACATGGGAAGGATGAAGGTAGGAGCAGGCAGCCAGAGACCAACCCTCACCACCACTTAAGCCTCTTCTCTGAGGCATCTAACAAGATCTACAGAGCAGGCAAAAAGTTCCTATTCTAAACAACCCCAGCTTTTCACTATATATTTATATGCTAAAATAAGAGTAAACCAGGATCAAATCAAACACTTTCATCAAACAATATTCTTCCTGATAAAATGTATTAGCTAAACTGGAAAATATCAGCATCTTTGAGTATTATAAGCAAATACTAAAGAGTTAGTGACAACTGCATCTGTAGGGCTATGAAAAACTAGGGTGGTAGGTGATATATTCAATACTTTTTACAAGATAAAGCATGAAATTAACATTGTCTATTTCCTGACACTATCACATTATCAAACACCTAGGATGTGAATTAGTGTAAGAAGTCATAGGATCCTAAATTCTAATCACCCAAGAAAGCCTATGTCAAGTCCTACTTCTTTCTCTACTGGGTCTGTGCTGATTACAGCATTTGGGCTGATTTCTTTATTTTCTGAATTTCTTCTTTTTTTAAGATTTATTTATTTATGCATACAAGAACTGGGGTACAGGCCAGAGGTGCGGGGGGTGAGAGGATTCACCAGAGACAGAGTGACCCAGGCAGACTGACTGAAATACACTGCTGAGGGGAGCAGCGGGCAAGACAGGAGAGGTCTGCTGCATCGTGTGGGTTGCTCCCTGGCCGGGGATCGAACTTGTGCTGCAGTGGCTGTGGACAGCTTCATAGGTTGCATCTTAACCCCTTGTGCCACCAGGGAGGCCCTAGTTTCTGAATTTCTATAGGAATTATTTGCCTTATCGATTAATCAATTTATTAGACTAACTAGCTCAGATCATTGAATCAGTATTTCTTTTAAACTTCTTAGGTTATTTAACTTACCACTGTTAATGTCCTAGCCCCTACTGTGAAATTAAGCTTCTTCAAAGAGAAATTCTATTTTTGCCTCCCTCCCTTCCACCCTCCCCATACATTTGGCAAAGTAGCAACTAGATAGTTACCTATTGCTAGGTAACTATTACTTTGTATATATGAGCTATAATTTTTCTTTATTTTGGTTTGGTGATGGAAAGAAAAAGATACAATGAGGAAATCCTGGAAGAGCTTGGGGTTTAAAAACAGTTCCAGAACTTAATGTCCACTAAGTAAATTACTCTTTGATGAACCCCAACTGGTATTTATGATGTTTATATTGTGATCATTAAACAAAACCTAGTGTAACTTAAACTCAAATAACACCAAAGGACTACTGGTAATTATGGACTGTGAGGTTGGTTGTTTCACCTCACAGAAAATCGTCCCAATTAACAGAGCAAAAATTCTAGGCTGGTGTAAATGATTTTGCTCCTTAGTCTATTTCTATGTCATCTAAACAATACAGTAGATTATTAATTTTTTAATTGAGTTTTTATTAATCTTGACAAAACCTGAAAACGATATCAATGCTTATGAAGCAAAGAGACAGAGGCAGTTCAGTATAACTGCAGAATGCTGATTAGGGAAAGGATACAAATTAAGTTCTGTAGCAAACAGTATTTTCTAAAGATGATCACAATATCCACTCCCCTTTTTGCTCTTCAATATGATCTTGCCACTCCCCTATCAAGAATTAGAGCTCATTTCCCCAGTCCCTTAAATTTTGGGTGGAATGTATAAGTATTTTAACAAACAGAACATGACAAAGCAACACTGAAAATAGACTTTAACTAGTTTCATAGATTGCGTCCCTCAAGAGTAAATCATCATGTAAATAGTGTGACCATTCTGAGGAGTCATTGACTAAAAGAGGTCTTAGAAATGAGCTGGGGGCCTCCCTGGTGGCGCAGCAGGTTGAGCGCTGCACTGTGAAGCTGTCTGCATTCTTTGCAGCGCAGGTTCAATTCCCAGCCAGCCAGGGAGAAACCCACATGGCGCGGCAGACCTCTCCTGCCTCGCCCGCTGCTCCCCTCAGCAGTGTCTTCGGTCCGTCTGCCTGTTCTGCTCCCCACTCTGTCTCTGGTGAACCCTCCCGCACCTCTGACTGTACCCCAGTTCTTGTATAAATAAATAAATATTTTTTTAAAAAAAAGAAAATGAGCTTGGGAGGGGTGGGGAAAGGGGGAGATAGAGAAAGAACTAAGGAACCCCAAGACACCAAACAAGTCCTTTGGAAGTAGGTCCTACAACCCAACCAACCCTGATAATGCCACATGGATGAGACAAAGCACCTAAGTGAACTCTTCTCAAATGCCTAATCCACAAAAGTTTTAAGCCTCTAATTTTTGATGCAGTTACATAACAGTAGATAACCAAAACACCATCAACAATGAACCTGTATTTTCTTACTAAAAATGCCACTATGCCTCCCAAATTCTGGAGAAAGTTCACATATATATTAATTCTTATCATCAGTATAGAACAAACTTATCAGGCATAGCTTCATTTGTTACCTTTTGAAATGTCTACCAGAGAATAACCAACCTTTATTATAGCATTTAATATAGAGTTCTCACCAAAGCAATACTCATGCCTACTTATATAAAAGATTACCAATTGTTAGAACTTCCTATACCAGTCCATAATGATAACATGGTTCTTATATTTACTCAAGTAATTTTTCAAAGCATACTTATTTGTCTAATCAGTAAAACACACTGTGCCATAGAAACACAATTTGTGTTCCTAAAGGAAGAATCTTCTTTTTTCCAATCTGTTGACAGATTAAGGAAACCACTAAAATAGCTTTGCCCAATCTGCTAATGGAACAAATATTTAGTTAACAAAAGAATGCATAACAATATATTTAAATATATCCAAAACAAAAACAGATCCTTTAGAAGGAAGTGAGATGTCCAGAAAGAGGGGTCTCAACAGGAACCAAATCAGCTGGCAACTTGATCTTGGATTTCCCACCTCCAGAACTATGATAAATATCTGTTATTTAAGTCTCCCCCTTACCCCTGTCCCCCAAAAAAGAGGACAGCTGGCAGATTCAAAGTCAAGGAAGTCATCAAAAGACTATTAGAAGATGGAAAGGAGCCTAAAAAATAATAGAAACATACGTAATACCAACCAATTGGAGAACCTAGACTTCAATTGGATTTTGACACAAGCCATTAAAAATAACTTACAAAACAATCAGGAAAATGTAAGAACTGGAAAATATTAAATACAAACGAATTATTACTTTTTAGGTATAATAAAATTATTATTATATTTTAGAAAGACGTCTTTATCTTTAGGGTCTCCCTGGTGGTGCAAGCAGTTGAGCAAAGTGCTATGAAGCTTTCCACAGCTTCTGCATTGAGGGTTTGATCCCGGCCGGCCAGGGAGATACCCACATGGCACAGCAGACCTCTCCTGTCTCGCCCACTGCTCCCCTCAGCAGTGTATTTCAGTCTGCCTATTTTGTTCCCCACTCTGTCTCTGGTGAATCCTTTCACCCACCCACCCCCACCTCTGGCCTGTATCCCAGTTCTTTGTTCTTTCCCTAAGTATACTTTTATTTACCTTAGTCAATAGTATTAGCTATCAGAGGTTAGGAAATTCAATACAAAAGAAATTTAGTACAAAAGAAGCAAGGATAAGAACTAGAATATGGGGCCTCCCTGATGGCACAAGGGGTTAAGACACAGCCTATGAAGCTATCTGCAGCAGCCACTGAAACATGAGTTCAATCCCCAGCCAGGAAGGTGACCCACATTGCACAGCAGACCTCTTCTGACTCACCTGCTGCTCCCCTCAGCAGTGTATTTCAGTCAGTCTGCCTGTTCTATTTCCCACTCTGTCTCTGGTGAATCCTCTCACACACCCCTCCCCTCTGGCCTGTACCCTAGTTCTTGTATGCATAAATAAATAAATCTTAAAAAAAAAAAGAACTGGAATATAAACCAAACTTAATCATAGGAAAATAACTACTCTAGGTATAAAATCAATGTATTATTTCAGACAAAAATCTATTTTTTATTAAGATACCAAAATATACTCCCTCGTTTATGTGTTCTCTCTCCTTCTCTCCCTCATGTATACGCACCACTTTCCATCTTTCTTTGACCAGGATTCCAACACTGAGGATATCTGGCTGCTCTCCTCCTCCACTCATTGCAATTCACTGACGTGACAGAATGGCTACACAGGCATCCAGCTCCCAAGGGTGGTTTCCATTTAACCTAAAACAAAAGAAACAGCAACAGCATATTAGGGCTAATTAACTAACTCAACATTCCAGTACCAAATAGACTATGAATCCTACCATTAACTAGGTTACTTTGCAGGAAAGAAGGCAGAAAAAAAACAAATACAAAACCCCACAAACTCAGTCCTAAAATTTGCTTGATGCATATTTTAAAAGTACTTATAATTCCATCACAGATGCCCAGTGAAATAACTAGACATTACAAAGACATTTATACAACACCATACTATTTACAATCATTGAAATTGCTAAAGTACAGCACTAGCACAGTGTCAATGGCAGTTGACCCAGACAGGCCATTATGCTAAGTACAACATACTGCTAACAAAAGAATGGTACCTAATTTACAACAGCTTATAGTTTAATAGGTTGTAACCTAGAGATTAAAATCAGTGCTAATAAAATTTTAATGTTACATAATGCATTTAAAATGTATGGAAAATCAATATCCATAGAAAAAGTTGTGTTGATCAAACCCACTATATATTGACATTGTAAGAATGTAACGACATTAAGTTGTATACAGTATTGTAAACCAGTATTACTCAATTAAAAAAAGTTTAAAGAAAAAGGAAAGTAACAGTAAAATGAACAACATACCTGTATAAAATAAAGATTCTGCAGAAAAAATATGGCCTAAAGGAAACCACATCCATAATCTAATATTATAGAACAAAGTAAAGAAAAACATTAAGAACAAAAATCATAAATTAGAAAAGCTCTTTACTAGCGAACTAGACAACAGGAAGATACAAAAAGAAATCTAAGCAAACTCAAAAAGGACCAGAAATTAAAGAAAAAGAAATTGATGACTCAACTAGAAGAGACACATGAGAAGACACCATACAAATAAAGAAAAGGATAAAAAAAATTTAAAATTTAAAAAATGAAAAGTAAACTTAAAAGTAAGTGATAAAGGAGCCTTGGTTGGTGGCGCAAGGTGTTAAGTCTCAGCACTATGCAGCTATCAGCAGCCACTGCAGCAGGAGTTTGATCCCAGGCCAGGGCGCTAACCTACATGGCACAGCAGACCTCTCCTGTCTCACCCACTGCTCGCCTCAGCAGTGTATTTCAGTGTATTCCTGAGCAGTGGATCTACCTCTCACTGAATCTCTAGTGAACCTTCTCACCCTCCACACCGCTGGCCTGTACCCCAGCTCTTGCATGCATAAATAAATAAATCTTAAAACAAGTTAAGTGATAAATAAAGGAAAAAGTAATTACAATATAAAATACATATTATAGAATGACCCATCCCCCTCCAAGAGAAAGAATAGCATTAAAATAGAACAAATACTAGCCATTACAAGTCAAGAAAATTTTCTGGAAATAAAAAGTCTAAATCTGCATGTTGAAATGTTATATTGCATACATGAGAAAATAACTCTCTAGGTCAACATCAAGACACATTCTAGTAAAACTACTAGCCTTTAAAGGGGAAAAAAAATCAACAGACATTTGTGCAGAAAGTCCAGATTACTTAAGGAAAGCAAATCAGATTGGTAGCAGACATTGGCAGCAATAGCTTATACCTACAGATAATGAATATATCTAAATATCCATGGAAATGGTGAGCCAAAGATGGTCTATTCTGTCAAATTAACCTTTTTTTTAAATATATATATATTTATTTATTTATTTATTTATTTATTTATACAAGCACTGGGTACAGCAGAAGCGCGGGAGGGTGAGAGAATTCACCAGAGCCAAAGTGGGGAGCAGAGCAGGCAGAAGGACCGAAGTACACCGCTGAGGGGAGCAGCGGGCGGCAGGAGAGGTCTGTGCGCCATGTGGGACCCTCCTCCGGTGGCAGGGGAGCAGCCAGGGAGCAGCTGGGGATCCAACCAGTGCCGCAGAAGCTGGGGGCAGTTTCGCAACCCAGCGCTCAACCGCTGCACCACTGGGGAGGCCCACTGTCAAATTAACCTTTAAGGTTAAAGGAAAGAGTGCAGAACACAGAAATCAAGGAATAGTGTTCCCAGGAACTGTCCCTAGGAATAAGAAATTATGGTAGAGAATTTAGCCTAAGAGTTGGCCTGAAAATGCCTAAAAGCAATGAAAACCCACTAGCAATTAGCATTCCTGCCTCCAGACTGTGAACTCATTTCCCACTAAAAGAAATAAGGGCTCCTTGGAGAAATGACTTATTCCAGGTCAGGCATGTGATACAATGCACTTAGGACATCTTGTCAAAGCAAAAAGCAAAAACATTGGCAAAACTACTACAATTAGGTTTTTTAAAAAAAGACAAAAGAATTCTCAATTACCAAACATCAAAGACATAAAAACCCATGAGTTCATAATGACACTCAAAAAAGAAAAAAATCAACTTTGCTTAATTCTGGAGATTGCTAGGGCACAACAGACTATTTTGAGAATTGACAAATGAGTAGAATCAAACATATATTCTGCCTCTCTTGTATTACTACAGAGAAATCAAAGAGATGATGAGCACAACTTTGTCCTTAGAGAATAATCACAGCTGATAAATACAGAAGAAATAACAGAATTAGAAAAACACCAATTAGCAATCTCTGACTAAATAATGAATCTAAGTAATGAACATCAATGTCTGCTAAACACATAAGATAAACAATAGATGAAGGATCATGTTGAGCCCACTGGTGAATCTTAACATCACTAAAAAGCAAGACAATGAAATGTTAAGTGTTTCCTGACATGACAAAGCAAAATTTTCTCAATGCCACTGTCTCTTGCCAAAAAAACAATTAAACCTAAATCTAATCCAGCTTCTTAAGTATCACTTTACAAAAATAAGGGTCTAGAGGCACAAGGTAAATGTAAACAGAAGAATGAGCAAAATCTATGATGTAGGAGATCCTAAAGGACAAAATAACCTAGTTTCTCCAACAAATATTGTCACAGAAAATAAGAAGAGTGGGGCCTCCCCCGTGGCGCAGTGGTTGAGCACTGGGTTGTGAAGCTGCCCGCAGCCTCTGCAGCGCCGGTTCGATCCCCGGCTGCTCCCCAGCCACCGGAGGAGGGTCCCACGTGGCACGCAGACCTTTCCTGCCGCCCGCTGCTCCCCTCAGCAGTGTACTTCGGTCCTTCTGCTTGCTCTGCTCCCCACTCTGGCTCTGGTGAATTCTCTCACCCTCCCGCGCTTCTGCTGTACCCAGTGCTTGTATAAATAAAAATAAATAAATAAATAAATAAATAAATCTTTAAAAAAAAAAAAAGAAAAGAAAAAGCGTGTACACTACAAATTGCAAGATGTAGGGCCTCCCTGGTTATGCAAGGGGTTAAGCATCAGCACTATGCAGCTATCCACAGCTATGCAGCTATCGAACACAAGTTCGATCCCTGGCCAAGGAGGTGACCCACATGGCGCAGCAGACCTCTCCTGTCTTGCCTGCTGCTCCCCTCAGCAGTGTATTTCAGTCAGTCTGCCTGTTTTGCTCCCCACTCTGTTTCTAGTGAATCCTCTCACTACCCCCCCACTTCTGGCCTGTACCCCAGTTCTTATATGCATAAATAAAAACAAATCTTTTAAAGAAATGACAGAATTTTTATTATTTTTGACTGTACAATAGATATCAGATACAAATGATCTATTATTTCTAACTGTATGATGCATATGTGGGAATTCATTATACTATTTCTGTATATATTTGTACTATTCCATAATATAAATGAAAAACAAAAGATGTATATACATTGATATGATCTTCAATCTTAACAGATAGTGCCATAATAATCACATCTCCACGACTAAAGAATTAATTTGCACTCGGGCCTCCCTAGTAGCGCAGCGGGTTGAGCGCAGTACTGTGAAGCTGTCCGCAGCCTCTGCAGTACGGGTTTGATCCCCGGCCAGCCAGGGAGAAACCCACATGGCAGGGCAGACCTCTCCTGCCTCACCCACTGCTCCCCTCAGCAGTGTATTTCAGTCCATCTGCCTGTTCTGCTCCCTGCTCTGTCTCTGGTGAATCCTCTCACCCTCCTGAGCCTCTGGCCTGCACCCCAGCTATTGTATAAATTAAAAAAAGAATTAATTTGCACTCCTACTGCACATACCAAAAATACAATTAACTCAAAATGGATCAAAGACCTAAATATAAAGCTGGAAGGTTCTTAAAACAATCTAAAAAATGGGAGAAAATTGCAAACTATCTGATAAGAGATTAATATCCAGAATATGTAAAGAACTTCTGTAAGTCAATAATAAAAAATAATGCAATTAATACATGAGTAAAGTCCTGAATACATATTTCTCCACAGAAGAAATACAAGTAGTCACAAGTATATGAAAAGATGCTTAACATTTCTAATCATTAGAGAAATGCAAATCAAAACCATATGAGAAATGACCACATACAATTATTACGATAAAGACTATTTTTTAAAAAAGGGTTTGTGAGGGTGTGAAGAAACTGGAACCTTGCTGGAGGTAGTAAAATGGCACAGTTACTGTGTAACAGTGTGCTGTTTCCTCAAAAATTTAAACATAATATTCTAACAATGTCAAGCAATCCCACTGGAAGTATATAACCAAAAGAATTCAAAGGAGGGAATCAAATATTTGAACAGTCAAGCTTATAGAGCTATTATCACAATAGAAAAAAAGGCTGAAGCAGCCTAATGTTTCAAATACATAAATAAATTCATCAACACATGAATGAATAAAGAAAATGTTGTGTGTATGTGTAGTCACACACATATTTACACACACACACACACACACTGAACTATTACTCCATCATAAAAAAGGACATCTTGTTACATGCTACAATATGAATGAAGCTTGAGAACATAAATTTCTGCCACACTCTGGCAAAGTCCCCAAGAGGTGGGACTCATTATTTTCTAAGAATGCTGTATTAATGAAGAAACTGTGATGTGTGCACTGCCAGAACAAACAGAACCATGAAACCTTTCACAATTTACACGGCACTGCTCTTACGGGCTGCATCCTGTTTGGGACAGTTTAGAAAATGTCTTCCCCAAGGAACT